CCCTGTCTTCTAGGTTCCCAACAAAGGTTAGTAACAGATAATATACATGAGTTGTCCAAGATAGCAAACTGAAAAGCAATTATGTTATCAGACAGTGGAAGCTCTTAGCTGCATTTAGATAGTATCGTTATCTCTGAAAACTCTACCGCTGTACTCAATGCTAACTAATGACAGCAGCTGTCATTAAAAGCACACAATATGGGGAAGATAACTGCAATATGGACAGTAGCAACTAAATTTCACTGAAGATTTTAGGGAAAAATTATAATACTGTTTGCATAGATATGATTGATAAAATAATATATTATTTTTCTATCAACAGGAGATAAAAAAAAAACAAACCCCAGACAACCCAAACCTGACTGCAAAGGGGTGAATTCAGGAAGACTGCATATACTTATTAAAATCAGTGTGAGGATGATAAACCTATAATCAAAGACGTAGCAGCAAGAATGTTGCTGAACTCATCCTAGTTCAAGGAGCAACAAAACAAACTACTACACCAAAATTGTATAAACTTATGTCAGTTCAAGATCTGCTTCTGAATTCACCTCACGAAGTTTATGTATTACACTATCTATAAAAATGTGACTGTTACTGAAACAGAGAAAAATGTTCCTTTCAAAAAATCTTCAAACAGAACACACATTAAAAACAAGACTTGAAGATACCCTGAAGGATTTCTTAGTAAAATACCAGCAGTGTACACTTGCCAAGTTGTCTGCACTGTCCAATAAAATCTGACATACATAAGGTATGTTCTTCTAAACAACTGCTTAACTATTTCCTTGATAGCATAATTCTAGATAAAAGTTCCATAACCAAAATATCGTTTTCCCAATATCTGATAATACAGAACTACTTTTATTTGCCATTTTGCTTGCTGCGTCCAAATATCTATAGTTAAATGTGAAAATCAAATCAGTTTTATGTTCCTAAGTAGTTTGGTTCTACTGTATGTTCTTGATTTACAAGCTATATACAATAATATTCAGTTATTCCATAGAACAGAGACTGAAACTGCTCTAAGACCCTTCATGAAACCTAAAACCTTTATTAGTCCCAATCTACAAGTATGAGGTTTAATGAAAATCCACAATAATTTAGATTATCTAGCATCCTCCTCTGTAATGCTGCTACAGGCATAGCAGTATCACAGAAAAAGTAACATCTATGAGAGCTGCTGTATGAGGCACAAACTATTTAGGATTTTTTTTTTTATCTGATACAACGCTGCACCAGAAAACACAAAAATTATTAAAGGTTTGAGAGCTCTTCAGAGGTCGCTTTAAAAACTCTCTCTATAGCAATGTAGGGAGATAGATGCTCATATGCCAGGAAATCACAAATTACTGATTATATTAATAATAGTATAAGAGGTCTTAACTCCTAGTTATGAGTTAAATAGCCTTGTGAACTACAGGCTAAGTACAACAGTGAAAAAAGCCCTTAGAATAGTTATTTTCACTCTCTGTTCTCCCTTAAATGCAATGAGCTCAACACAGCCATTTGGAAAAGGAAATAAATATTAGTTAAAATGAAAAAGAGTTGCATTTTACATTGCAGCAATTTCAAAGTCATCTGAAGTACCCTGGAAATCCCACTATGCCACAAGACATCCTCCATGAGGAAAGCTAAAACCATTTGGGTGCATGTTTGTGTTGTGACAGGGGTTCTATGTGCCATTGTCCTCAACTTTACTTTTCACAAGGTTATTTAATTTGGATGTAAAACCAATTTGTAGTGTTGTCATTAACATAATTAATCATATCCTGCTCTCTAGGAAGTGGACATCAGTCATGTGGGACTCCTGCACACTAACTTTGTCCTTCTTTTAATCTTAGAATAACCTCTGGAGGTGTTCCAGATCTCTAAAAATAGTAATGCCATTGTAAAATCTTGTCTTCTAAGAAACAGTAGACTATACAGTATAAAAAGCACTTGGAACCTGTCTTTATCCTTTGGTGCTAATCTCTAAACCACACTGCACCACCAATGACTTGTGGTAGCAAAATTTGCAAATACAGCCAAAGCAAAATAATTATCAGAGAGTTAAGGCAGAGACAGATCTTTCTTTTCCTGTTAAATGGGTTTAAGAGTCCAAAAGCTGTAGAATAGCTTGTATCCTCTCCTATACTGACAGCATGACTTACAGTTACTGGGCTTTATCAAGGGAATATTTTTAAGCTATTAATGACTAGATCTTACTTTTTCATGCTTAACTGTGAGGTTGAAAATCATGGAAGTGTCACATGAAAGACAGAAGTATCTCTGTGTTAATGTCAGTGGCTTACAGTAAAAGGACTGATGTTAAATTCCTGTCTAGCTTGACAATAGGTATCTGCACAGCAATATTATTTTATTTAGTAGAATTGAAGCAAAAAGAAAAATAGAATTATCATTCAGTGTTCCACTAACAGCAAGAGAAAAGAGTGCTGCAGAGCTGCAGCAGTTTTTATATGCTTACATGCTAAAAAAACCCAAACAAAAACACAACAAGAACAAAGAAAACCTGCAAACGGAAAACAAAACACCAAAATTCCCCATATGCTCTACACCAAAAGAAAAACTGTTTTCCTCACAAATTACTACTACACAGTTCTCCTTAGGAGATTAACTTTGGCAGCAGAGGGGAGAGACTGATGTCAGCAGTATATTAGTGACAGCAGGGGTTAAAATTCTGGGCTTCCATGAAAAGTGAAGGCCAGCCAGAATGACCACTCAAGAAGAATTACTTGGAGAAAGAGTTAATTTTGTGAAGTTTTAAGGAACCGAGTTCAACAGTAAGAATAAGGGGACATTTATAGAATGAACACTGTCCCCACTGCTACTGTTTTAGCTGTGCAGGATTCATCTCACCCCATTCTTTCATGCTACACAGATAATGTACCTGATTTTGGCTCCTCATCAAATGCAACTCCTCTAATAAGAGTGTACAAAACTAGGCATCAATGATCAAGCACCAAAATGAAGCTAAAAGCAAAGCAGAATGGAAATCAGACAAGTCTCAAAATACCAATCAGTAGTTCATGGCTCATCTGATCAAAATTATCAAAGTGTCAATTGCTGATTAAGAAGAGAAAACCCTTGTACTGAAGTCACTCCATGACTCTGCAGCAAATGTTATTGTTCTGACTGCAAATCAACCATTTATGATCAATCTTTCTTCACCTCTGTTTGTCTTTCATATTCTTACTCTTTGGTAGCAAAATGGACATTTTGACACAGAGCATGACAGAAACCTCTGTTCCAGCTCCTACACTTGTTGAGACAATGGCTGCAATTCTTCCCTAATCTTTCAGTCAAATCATCCTTCATTCAGAGCTCTAGTGGGACATGGGCATCCACTGATTCTGGCCAGCTGATCATCCATAGCATAAGAAGGAGAATCCTTGACCAGGGACACGGTAGGATTGGTCCTGGTGATGGTGGTCCCTATTTCTGTCTAATTGCCTTATTACACCTCCGTCAGTAGTAAGCAGAACACCACTGATACAGCAATCAAACAACATATAATTTTGTTTAAACTATACTTTTGTAACTTTGCACGTGTGACCAAGCATTTGTTAGCTTGAAAAGATCAAAGGAATAACAAAAGTTCTGCTTAGTTACACACATATGATAGGATGTGCTAGCCTGAAGAGTTTAGAATATGCTATAAATGTGTACTGAAGCAAGATAAGGAAATAATCTTGCTTAATTTACAGCTTTCTTTATAGTCTGCACATAGATAACAGGAAAGACAAACTGACCCTGTGGTTCGGAAAGTCTAGGCAGCAGGTAAACAACAGGAAGAAGAGCAGAACAAACCAGTCCTGGGATTTGAAGATGTGCCAAATGAACAGCAACCCCAAAGGCAAATCTGGGGCAAAGTGAGAAAGAGGAGGAAAGATGAAGTGAAATGACCACCAGACTCAGATGACCATCGGGAGGCACCATAACGCACATTTGAGGGCCATTTACATATGTTAATGAATCCTTGTGAATATGTAAATAATTTATTGGAAATTTCATGTGTAAGTATGAGTAACTGACACATAACTCGTGTTACGAGACAAATGGGTGTGAACATTAGGTGGAACATTAGTGCCCCGTGCACTCAGTGCTGTAATAAAGAATGCCTGCCTTCTAAAACTTCAAGTCTTAGAGGGTTCCCTTCTGTGACTGGAATTTACGGTAACACCACCAACCAGAGTCCATGAACTTGCTGAACACATTCAAGGACCATGCTGTGGGTGTGCTCTCTGTGATGCTGACCTCTGCCTCCCGGTTTTAATTTTTTGACCACTCCTTCTCATTTTCCTCATTTGTCGTCTTTCACAATTTCATTTTCCTCTAGTCTCCTCTGTCTTTCAAGGAGGCGGAGCTGGAGGGGAGCAGGAGAGATTGATGGCTGTTCCTAGTGCAGGAGATTGATGCAAGCAAGGAACAAGCAGAGGTAGAAGGGAGAAGCCTAACCATGAACCACCAGTGGTGCCCAGAGCCACAAGACCAGCTGTGTCACCTTACCCCACAGAAGGCGAGGAACACCACGGTACAGCTGAAGACATCATACCACACCAACACAATGCACTACAATGGGTTTGCCTTACAGATAACAAATGTACTTCTAGCAGCACTTCTTATCTTTTGATAGTAAACCCCCATGCAGGCAAAGCCTAAGTTTCCCTCCTTGTTTTGGCTCCAGCACTGTTCCCACAAGTGCAACTGCTACAGACTTGCCCACATATAAAGATTTTTTTTGGGGGGAAATACCTAAATAGAAAATGATTAATGCTATAAAGTCTTACACTGACAAGGTTTTATAACAGTTCAGCTTGAGCAGCTGGAAGTTTTTCATCATATCAATATTTTGTAATTTTGTTCTTGTGGAATGTAGAATTTCCTAAATAAATGCTGCAGTTTATTGCTTGACAAATGTGGGGGAAGAAAATGTATTTTAAATAGTTGCAAGAAACTCTTCTCATATTACTCAAAGTAATGGTTGGAAAGTCACTTACCCCCAGTTGCCACAGTAATTTCACGTAGAAAATGGCCATAAAATGGAAAATCGAAGGACAGATTCACTCTCTGAAAGGAACAACACCAGAAAATAAAGTTGATACTGTTTAGAAAGGTAAGAGAAAACAAAATTAACAGTTCTCCACTTAAAACATCTGGGTTTTTGTTTGTTTGTTTATTTTTAATTTTTCACTGGAGCTTTGTTATTCTTAATTTGAAATTGCCAATAACTGGCTGGAAACAATTCTGTGTAGCACTCAAACATTTTAAAGCAGTGGATCTTTGTCACTGAAGACTTCAGAAAGCAAAATACAGTAGCAAGCAGTATAACATCCTCTAAGAATAAAAATAAGAAAGATTTGTTGAGTTTTTCCTTAAAAAAAATATTGCTTTAATCTTGTTCTTAAGAAAAGCCATCAATTTTTAAAGGCCTTAGCAACACCTAAATTTTACAGGATGGCCCTTCCCTTGGCTGTGGGTGTTTTTTTCTTCTGTCACATGCTCCTTCAGTTTCAATTGCTTTCCCTGACATCCTGCTGCTACCTGGGTGCTCATCTAATGAAGGCTGGTCACTGGAAGGCAATTCATCTGTCAAACCCACTTGACACCGGTTCCTTAGCCTCTCCATACTGTTAACTAGGAGCTGAAATGATTTACAAAGAAATATTCAACAGAAGCATTAACAAACTCTACTTAAGGTACTTCTTGCAAAATTTAAAAAAATAAAAGGAAAAAAAAAATCTTTTCCCCTGTTGGCCTATAGGTGACTATCCTCTGTCAGCTGAATTCACTGCAGACAATTCTAATCTGTAGAACAGACTCTTCTCACCTAAGCTCACCATAAAGCACCATTCCAATGCAAAGTAATTTTCCCTCTCTGCTGATGGCTCTATCCTTTCCCATCTATTTCACTCCTTTCCCAAAGCTCAGTGATTATTGTGGTCACCCGCAATTACCACCCAGTGTGCTACCTGGCTAAACTCTGAACAAATCAGTAGTCATGACATGAAGGAGTGCTGAAATCCCAGTAATGTCTTTTCACTGTTTAAATGTAATATCCCATGAAAAACACATGTGTTATTTAATAACACTTTGTGTTATTTTAAGACAGGGAACTGCTGGAGAGAGTCCAATGGAAGACTCTCTCCAAATTCTGATCAAAGATGATCAGAAGACAGGAACACCTCTCTAACAAGGAAAGGCTGAGAGACCTGGGTCTGTTTAGCCTGGAGAAGAAAAGACTGAGAGGAGATATTAGCAGTATTTATAAATATCTAAAGGGTGGAGGTCACGAGGATGGGACCAGACTCTTTTCAGTGGTGCCCAGTGATAGGACAAGGGGCAACAGGCACAAACTGGAACAGAGGAAATTCCACTTAAACATAAGGAGAAACTTCTTTACTGTGAGGGTGACAGAGCACTGGAACAGGTTGCCCAGAGAGGTTGTGCAGTCTCCTCCTCCAGAGACTTTCAAAACTGAAATACTGAGGTTTGAACCCCAAATCCTGAATTAAGGTTGACTTATGTCCTTCACACATAACCACAGCCCTTCATACAGAGGTGGTGAGTTTGCCTTATAGCTTCCCCCCAGGGTGCGGCCGGCCCTGCAGGGAGACCCATAAGGGAAATGAGCCCCAGGGGTCCCGCATTGAGTTGACAAAGGTCAGGTGTCTGCTTGGGGATAAAAGCTGGGACCACTTGCAGGAAGGGTAGAGAGTCTATCTATGACATGGATGCACTTCACAGACTCTCCCTGTTGGGGAAGGACCTCTGGATTCTCCCTGGAACTGGGTCCCGGTCAGCCTGGACCTTTGCAAGTGTGGGTTATGGGAGAGAGAAGTACATGGCTGCCTTTATCTTATGTGATTAACTTGTTGATGGTTGTCTCCCATTCCCTCTATGGGAGACTTTGGTTCTTTATTTGTTCCACCTCTTGTCGGTTGTGCGGTATCGTTGTTGGGGGTGATGTTGATTGGTTGTGAACTAATTGACATATTTGTACCCTTGGTGGTTATCCATGTAGTGACCTTTCTATGTTCAATACAGCTGAGTTACTGGTTTGTCTTCCTGCTGGCTGTGTCTTTTATGTTAGGCCTAGTAATTGGCAAAACAAACTCACCTGGACATGTTCCTGTGCGACTTGATCTAGGCCAACCTGCTTTGGGAGGGGGGTTGAATTAGGTGATCCCCAGAGGTCCCTTCCGACCCCTACCATTCTGTGTGATCCTGTGAAATCCTGTAGTGCTAGATGTGTTATTTTTTCCATTAATATTTTTGTACTACTTTCCCCAAACAGTGACTACACAGGTTATAGAGCCTATTTATTACTTTTATAATCTTTCTTACTCTTCCTGTACAATCAAAACCAACTGGCAACTTCTGGGAACTCTAAAGGTTGCACAATTCCAAATGAAGGAAAACTCAAAAATTCAGTGTAAAATTTTTAGCATTCAAATAGTCCCTGACATTATTAGAAAAAGTAATGTTTGTCCTATAGCAGTTTAACTCCTTGTTCTATTGTCAAATGGGAGAATGATCTTTAGAAATTATCAGTATGTAAATCACCAGGTCACAGAAAGTTGTGCTAAATGTCTTTTTAAAAAGTGTAATGGCTAAGTTTATCTCTATGGAAGAGAAGGGAAGAGGGTGTTGCTTAGTTATGTATGATTTGCTCAGAATACATGACTCTACAGTTATGCAGCTATGGAGAACAACACTTTTGTTGTGTAGTACAAATGGGTGTTCTTTGCTTAGACATGTAAGAAATCTGTTCTAGACACATACAAATACAAAGCCTCAGTATGACTCACCAATACTTTTTCATCCTTCAGGAGGGACATAAATTTCTGAAAAAGGTCTTTGAAACAGTATGTAGACATGGCTGCAGCCAGTTGAGTTCACAGTCTAAGATATGTAGGTAAGTATGAAAAGAGATGGATATCTGTGTGCTAACTGGGACCACAGCCTTCTCTTCCAGAGCTGGCAGAAAGGCAGAGTGGGCACCTGACATTCAGCAAAAAAGTCGTAAAACACTTGTTTTGAGGAGAAACAGTTGAAGCCCTCATGCTGTCAAGCTTCCCTCTACCATGCTCAATGGCACTGATCCCACACCCAGGCCAAAAGCATTGCTTCATTTTAAACCTCTGAATCAATAACTTTAAAAAAATATCCTCCGTAGGATTAACACTTTGAGGTGTATAGCCTCAGAGATTCAATGGGAAACAAAGTGCTTAAAACAAAAAGATGGAAGGGTGTCATCTTCACTAATCATTAAACAAAATTTCTCAATGAAATTTCATTAAGATTTAGATCCTAAGCCTCATAAATTACTTTTACTTAGGAAAGATTATTTACCTTATATAGATCTTTCCAATTCCTTTATTACCTTCTTTGCACATTTCCATTCTCCTCCTTAAGACAGATTACCAAGATCCCAAAAGAAGTTGACAAGGCAGAGAACACAGGTTCTCACTTTTAGGTACCCTTGAGGGTGTTTTGTTTTGTGAGGTGTTTTTTTTGTTTTTTTTTTTTTTTTTTTTTTTTTTTTTTTTTTTTTTTTTTTTTTTTTTTTTTTTTTTTTTTTTTCCTCCTCATTAGAAGCAAATTATCTTAAGAAAATAGCTGTTACCATGTTTAATTAAGTTTACCCCAAAGGCATATAACTGCCTGAACCCTCCACGTTTCCATTATCCTGTCTCCTTACAGTCTTTTTGGCAACAAAAAATATTTTATGTATTGGACTCTTTGTTAGTCAAACGTAGTGGATTTATCACCCCACTCTGCTTTCTCTATTCTGAGCTAAGTACCACAGTATTTCTTCTTGCTGCTCCTTACATTTCTCTGAGCCAGTCACCTGCCTGATGTCAAGGAGGTAATAGATAAACTGGGAGAAAAGATGAATTAAAGTGGATTTTCTCTCAGCTTTAAAACAGTTAAACACACTTGCATCTTTTAAAATTAAAAAAGTTTTAAATAAGGCATTAATTAGATTTTGGATTTAAGCTGGCAAAGCACAAGGCTTTTTTGTTGGAGCCAAGCTGATGAATGGATGAAACTGGAAGCTCATGAAACACAATTCTGAGTTATAGTTTTCTGTATTTAGTTTGTACTAACATTGGCTCTTCTATGTATGCAGTTTCCAGCCATAGGCAAGACCTGGGAATATAACCTGTAAATCATACATCATTCAATTTCACTTCTAAGCATGTCAGCCCATTATTTTTATACCTGTTTTATGAGGCAGCATGATTACAATAAGTTAAACAAGACTGTTATTTACATCCTGTGATATTTATTTGATAATACTCTGAAATCGTGGTCACAACTGTCACTTCTCTAACTTGACTTTTATCACTTGTCCCAAAAGAAAAAGTAAGGGTAACACTTCATACAAAACAACAGCCCAAACAGATACTCTCCATTGGAGACTGGAGCTTCAACAACTTAATCCCCAACCCAGTTCTGTTGCTATTGAAGTCAATGGTAAAATTCCCTCCAACTTCAGCAACTCAACTAGCTTATTGTTTGATAGCTTGAGATCCGTAAGAACAGAGGTAAATGTTAACTATATCTATAAAGGTATCTCTGAAGAACTGTGCAAAAAGAGAACTTGGAATCATTTGACAGCAACACTGCGTAGACCTTCACAGCTTAACCAAAATTCAAAGATAAAGCTCTGTGAACAGTAGCCAATACTACTGTGTCGGTCACTGGCAAAAAATATCCATGTCAAAGAGGAAAAAGGTGTAATGACTTACCGCTGCTTGCCGGTGGGTATTGGAAAGGATCCCATGAATCTTTACTTTGTCTTTCTCCATTTGGTCTATATTGACCCACAGGTCCCGGCTAGTAGAATCATACGGGCCATATGTCCTTGAAGTATAATAATTATGATCTGTATCCTCCTGAAAGGGGGAGAAAAAAAAACAGCAAATATGGATTAGAATGGATCATACACCTTAGTTTTATAAAAAACTCACCCTTGAAATACGAGTTCTGCTGCCCCTTGGAGCAGCTGCAAAGACTAGACTGCAAGTCATCAATGAAGGAAAAAGATACAAATTGCAAACGTGGTGCAGAAGACAGTTCTGCTCCTAAACACGAGCAGTTGGCAAGGCAAACAGTTACCTCGTGCAATCATCTCATATTGTGATTATAATGTTCACTGTCCCCAAATCCAAATCATATATTTCCTATGACCACATGAGTAAAATCTATGGCAAAATGTTTCATGGCTTTCAACGCAGGATAGCCAGTAATTTCTTGTAACAATGACCATACTCTAATGTAGTGATAAGCAATTAAACACCTTAATAAACCCTGTGTTTTTTAATACATTTCTAAACATAATTTACTAGAATACCCTTCATAAGAAGATCCAATAGTTACTGTCACGCTCATGTCACAGCAAATTCAAAGGTAATATACATGAACTCTATATGTACCATGGGAGATTGTGCTAGTGGTCTAAATCCAACAGCTTGAAGATATCTAATTCCACAGTCAAGTGCACGGTTCAGAAGACAGTCAAAGCCTTGGCAACATCTGCTTATTTCAGTGGCAAAACTGAGACTCCAACATTCAAAATACTCTGTATGCCACTTAACCTCACTGAAGTCAATATACACTTGAAATCATATAAATTGACACATTAAAAATGTAAAATGTTGAAATCTTATTTTGTAAAATTCCATAAATGTTTAAAAACCTAAGGATAGGAAATTAAAAGATTTCTGTCAAGGTAAGTGGCTATGATGGTCTGTACCTTCTTAAGAGATTTCTAAGATGGTGAAAGGAAAAAAAAAAAAAGTGCCTCATCTAAGGCGAGAGATGAAACAGATCTCAGATTTTCAGCCCTTGTTAACTTGTCCCAAGTTACTGTAGCCATAAAATATTTAAATCAACAATGTTGCCAGCTTTCTGCTGAACAGCTACAAGTAATATTGTAAAAGAAGCACATGCTGGCATTTCTCAGCTCCTTTCTCCCTTCCTTCTCTGCATAAAAGGAAAATAAACAAAGCCTCAGTTATAGTGTTTTAAAATTAAAATAAACTTAGAAAATAAACAGTGGCATAGAAAATGGAAGAGGCAAACTTATAATTTAGAATTACCCCTGGTAATGAAGAAGTTTCTGAGCACCTCCTACACCCAGAAAGCAGTGTGGGACTACCCTCATTACATCACACTCAGCTGCTATGCAGACCTGACACCCCCTTCCCATGACCCACTGTGCAGAACATACGTAACTCATTCCTACTGTTGTTGTCCTGAGCTGAAGATATACTTGGCAAGGGTTTATATTCTAGATGAAACCATCCATATTCTAGGTTAAATATACGAATCATAAATTCTGTTTCAGTTGGATTTTATCCTACATTAACTCCATTACTGATGCATTTTACTTAAGCTGTTGCAGGTATAATCAGGTTATTTTCTCTTTGACATTTTCAATATCTTCTGCTGTACTTTATATTCCAGGATGTACTTGCCTGTAAATCTCACTGGCACTTTTGAAGAAACTCCTAACAACTTCAGCAGTCCTAGCTTAGTCACACAAGTAAACTTAATTAAAACTAAACTGGTAGGAAGATGACAAAGGCTAACCATCTTACCGAATTATTTTCTTCTTTAATGGTCAAAAGAAACAGTTATTACTGTCACCTATACAAAGGGGGTACAGTAAATTAGAAGGTTTTAACAACAAGGATGTTTTCCCAGTCTAATTTACTATTCTGACAGACTTTCCATAGAAATTAAAAGGTACATTTGAGGCATCACAAAGTCTCAAGGAAAGAGCTCCAAGAGACAAAAAAAAAAAAAAAAAAAGAAAAAAAAGAATAATTACCAAAATTACTTGTTTCAGATAAACAGGCCATACCTAAACCATCGTTAAAACTGTGCAGATTTTTTGCAGTTCTAGTTTTTCATAACTAATAAAATGACTCCAGTTAATTATTAGTAGTTAAGTCCCTACATGCACAGCTAGAAGGATTTAACACAGAGTTACTAACACTGGTTGCTCTGTAAGATCACTTTAAATGGTATCTTGATCCATGCTTAAAGCAAACTCATTATACATCTTGTAAATCAAACACTTAAATTATAGCCTTATCTCAACAATTTTGTCAGTGTGTGCTCATGTATAAGCAATATCAAATTTTGTATTAAAAAGTCTCATTTACGGTTTTAATTCAAGGTAAATAACCTTATATACTTCTGAAAAGAAACATTTACTTCCACTTGGATTACAGAAAGAGAACAGAATTTCTTTTGCTCTTTGGAAAAGCTGCATAACCTTCATGCAGATGTATTTCACAGACATACCATTAAATATTTCTCTCTCATATGCCAATTTTTTTATGTCCTATCTGTACATTTTCAGTATGATTACAAAAAGGAACATACAGTTAACTACTAAATTTGGCCTGAGCTGTTTAGGAGCTCTTAGCAAGGTTAAGATCCACGCTTGTATTACAAGTCACTGCCTTCATAGTATTTAATGTGCATTACCATGGAAATGAAGTTGTTGGAGTCTTCTGTAAATTTCCAGCTGTAGAGAAACATTTTATTGGTATCAAATGATTTCATGAGTTTTATTCTGATCAGTCTGTTGATGGGCTTTGGTTGATTGCACCTGCTTCATAACACATTCCATCTCCTACAGGTACTATACACATTAGACGAACGAATGTTTCAGAAATTATACTGAAGTTGCATGTAAACTACTGAACTAAGAAAATAATTTTACCAGTTATATGACACAATTGTAGAATTCTAGTTTTGTATAAAAACATGTATAAAGAGAGGCAAAATTGTCAGTATCTTTTAATGATGTAGAAGCATGTCACCAAATGAAAGAACATGCAGACGAAAGCAGAAAACATACTTATTGCTACTTAAATAAAATTTTTCTTTGTTTTCCAGGTATTTTGGGAATATGACCATTACTTGCCGTTGCTTCTTTAAATGTACAGTCCTGTCCAAATACTGAGTATATATGAAGTAGGAAGCACCTCTTTTCTGTTGAGAAGTACAGATTTGAAGCAAAGGAATTTTTGCAACAGCAATGAGGATTACTGTTGGCAACCTTTGTGACTATAAAGGGAATATTTATTAGAACCTCTCTCGTAACTTTTCTTTTGGGGAAATAAGTTATTTTTAACCTGAGGCAACCTTCGATGTCGAGTTGCCATCTTGTTTCAGGCTGTAAAGAAAGTTAGTTTCTTACAGTTTTCACAAGGGATATTGTCTGATGACACCTTGAATGTATTCCCATATTTCTCCAACTACAACTGAATTTCCTCAGAAAAGCTGAACGGATGCACTATTCATGAAAGCACAGCACAACTGAAGATTAAGCCCTCTTTAAATTCTTGTATTTAAAATCTTGGTATCTGTTAAATTCAATGACTGAATATTCATCCCATACATGATATATACAGATACTCCCAAACACAGTCCAAACACCACATACCCGTTTCCCCAGTAACTGTTGTCCCTTAACAGATTAAGGCTTCAAATGTGTGAGCTGAGCTGTCACAGTTAAGAAAGTATAAAGTAACTATGTATGATATTTAAAAGTAACAACTACATTATGCCTCTGGAATGCTTTCAATTTACAAACTGGGATTCTGGCCAAAGATATACATGGAAATAGTTCTAAATCAGACATGAAACAACAAAATCTCCTTGTGATCAAATAAGACATCATGATACAATGATGATGAAATCACATATGTAAGCATGAGACTTTACAGGTTTAGTTCTCTTCCTGTTACATTTTTTTCTTTAACAGAAATGGAAAGGTGCAGTAACTCTAGATGACAGAGGATCTTATCAAATAAGATTTAGGTTAAGAATAAGAGCCTCTGTTGAATCCAGCTGCATGAATATTCTGTTCTTAAATACTGGATCCATTTGGATCCAAACCACAGACGTTACTGAACAAAAGTTTGTGTTATATATATGTGTGTATCTGTAAAGTTGTAACTGAAAAAAATAGCAATTTCAACCAAAGAAAAAAGCAGCTGGCATCCAGGAATGAGCTCTGCAGTTGCACAATAATATGCTGTACTTAAACTCTAACTTACTTTGTAGTTGAAAGAAGAGAGAAAGACATTCACAAAGCAAGTCGTTAGAGATCAGCCAGCCAAATGGCAGCTACATTTTAGTAGCTTAATTTTGTTGTTTCCTCCCAGTCCTGGAAGACTGTAACATGACTGATAAAAAAAAAAAAAAAAAAAAAAAAAAAAAAATTAATTATCCAAGGCTTCTTATCTTCAAATATCTCCGATTAAGTCTCATGAGTTATTGGCACTGCAACAGAAGACAATTAGACTGCATTTTGTTAACTGTAGTCCCTTATAAATATGCTATTTATTGAAACTTGATTTTCAGATTTTATTGAGGTGACACTACAACAGCCAAACTCTGAAGCCATCAGGGATATGGACTTAGAAAGTATAGATATATAACTTCATCACTGTAAAAAAAAGGTCTGGTATTCAATTTTTAACAAGATGAACTAACAAATTGCCCAAATATTGCTAAAATCACAGACTAGGCCTATTTTTAAATTAACTGAAAGTGCTGCTGGTATGTGCCCCAAAAAACTAGTGCTGAGGAAATTACTTACAAAGCACTAAGTTCATAAAGACATTTTTAATTCTGACTATAATATGAGCATTTATAGATTAATAGCTATGAAATCAATTATACTTTCTATTTTATTCTACAAATGCAGCTTTTAGAAACACTGGAAGAAGAAACAGTCAATTATATATTTTAAAATAGACTACTTTTCATGAAGAAAGTAAAGATAATAAAATACTTTAGGGGAAATTTAAAGGAAAGAAATTAATTAAAAAAAAAAATAAAAAGTATTTCCCTAATGAAGAAAAGCAGT